ATGAGCGTGACATTGGAATGACATTGATTTATAGTTGTCCCGATTATACTTGATTAAGCATTGATTTGTAGTTGAATGTGTAACAACAACAACGTTGAAAAATCATCTATTTATAGTTGACCGGAAATGACATGATATTGAAAAGCCATTGATTTATAGTGATGGGGAAACATGATTGAAAAGTCACTGATTTATAGTTGACCGGGAAACATGATTGAAAAGTCATTGAATAATAGTTGACCGGGAAACATGATTGAGAAATCATGGAATTATAGTTGACCGGGAAACATGATTGAAAAGTCATCTATTTATAGTTGACTGGGAAATAGGATTGAACAATCATTGAATTATAAATACCATTGAAGTCATGTTGATTTTTAGTTAGGCTTTGATTTCAACTTTGTTTCAGTATTTTCCAACATCAGTCTGATGTTGATTCAATTAGCGTTGAGAGCAGAATGCTGATTCAACATAGTTTCAATTATGTTTGCTATCTGGGAATACTTATCGCAACATAGTCTTCCTCAATAACAATATAACCAATGTTCAATAAATATTTAATAAATGCTTGAATCATGAATGAATTAGCACTTACTTTTTCTATTAAGATATTTATTTTGGTGAGGAAAAAGGGACTATATTTCACTTAATTTTACTTGTGCACATTTGTTGAAAACAGTTTTTATCATAATAGTTCTGAATGTTCTGCCTCAAATTAGTGAAGTGATCAACTGTTTGGCATCAAGTGTTTGTTCTGACCAGAAAGAAAAGTTTAAATCCAAATCAACCATCTGGTTTCTTCAACTTTTAATAAGTATCAAAAATCAGCCTTTAAACTAGATAAAAGTAATGATTTGACATTTATCCTGATCATTTTCGATATCGAATTATATGAATTTTTTTTTATTGTGATAACAATTTTGTCCATATTGGTATAAGGGACCTGTAAGCCCTGGTATAAATAGTATTATTAGCTTTAAAAATGCTAAAGGAAACTGGGGGAGCCAGTTTGAATGGGCCTGAGGGAGCTGATAATAATATATAGCAAGGATTGATATATTATTTACAGGGGCTATGCTTAAATTTGTCAGTAAGGTAGCTGGATCATAAGCAAGTAATAGCACAGTTAGTCCAAATCCACTACCAGCACAGTCCCAGTCCAGACATTTCATACACTTCAATCAAAAATAAATCAAAAATGGGGGGTGAGGGGGCCTGCGCCCCAGAGGAGCTATGTCTAGCAAAGCCCCTACTACAGACTATGTGCTGGGTAATGCCAGTCAAGAAATCAGGTTTCTTTAGATATATATAGTAAGAAATTATATTGAAGAGGTACTCAGATCTTAAAAGAAGTACAATACTTGAGTAAATATGTTACTTGTAACTAAGTAGGCATAGTCCGCCACTTTAGATTTACTGAAAGTAGTTAAATTTAAGAAAGTAACTTGTGTTGCTTGTTTTTCTTTTACATGTATGTCTTATAGGTAGGCCTATTGGTTTATTCCCGTAAACACCCTATTTTCTTGCTGGGCAGTTAGCATAATTAGCATAATTCGCAGATATGGACAAAATTTCAGCAACTGCTTGGCCAATTTGGACAATATTGGAGTGGTTTTGGAGGTTATTGAAGACGCTGAATTCATTCCTGACATTTTCTAAATGGCAGGTTCAACCAGAAGTGGCCAACTAGAGGGAGCTCCGCCTGGAGGGTGGCATTATGAGTTTTCCCATCTTAAATAGTAAAAAAAAAAAAAAAAAAAAACGGAAATCAATATGAGGCGGTCAGCAATGATAATGTGGTAGGCTGCCACAAATAAATTAATTTATGGGTAACACTGTGCTGGATATCACTCACCATATTAGCCAGTAAACATAAACCCAGTAAGACACAAACAGAACAGAAGTTGACTTCCGGCCGGCGCATCACCTTGGCAACGCTTCCGATGAAAGTGTCTATATGAAATGGAACAAACTGTAGATGCTCCTGTCTCTTTAAGCCCCCCCCCCCGGCTCCATCTAGTTCTGTGTGTCATGGAGCCATTGGTAGAAAAAACAGTTCATAACAGGAGGAAATCTGAAGTTTTTTCTTACAGGGATTTCTTTTAAATACTTTAACCTCATTGCTTGAAGCTTTGGCCATGTTTAACATGCATCTACGGTGCAAATTAAAAACTCACGTCTGGTTCGTTCTGTCTTCCTTGTACTTTGGTGTTTTTGAACTGAACAGTTACGGCAATCATGCGAATGAATAAAATACTTAATAAAATATCTGCTGCTTATCCTACGTATGTGCCAACCCATAGACACACACAAACACACACACACACACACACACACACACACACACACACACACACACACACACAACATAATAGAATAAACAATTGTATTTGCAGCGATTTCCCTATTAAGTGTGGAAACAATATAAAAATATCTAAATAAAAATGAGTCTTTGTATAACAAGTATAACATGTTTATGATTTTGTTCTTTATTCTCACTGTCGTCCCGCACATTGGTAGAAATTGCTGCAAGATCCAGGGTGGGGATCTTCTATCCCCTGCAGCTTACCTCTTCCAATGAACCATGTGTTTATGAGGAAAAACAGAACAAAATCATACTCTTGATCTGCTCTCATACAGTGTTTAGATTTGTTTTTGTTTCAGTCTTTTTTGTTAGCAACAAGTGACTTGCTCAGCACAGTAGGCTGTGCCCTATGCATGTGTTATTTTTTTTAAAAAAAGACACTGATGTGTTCCTTAGGTAAAATCAAAGAAAGAAACCAATAAAGTCTGTTTTCATAAATTGCTATAGGTAACAAGTTAGTGTTGAGCTAATATTTTTAGTGTTAAAGTCATTGCAGGTTTCATCAAATACATTAACGTCAGGGACACAACATAAGAAATCTGTAAAGTATATCCATGGCCAAAATCGTAATTTAAGAGTTTATACGTTTTTAATTGATTTCAATTCATTCTAGGTGCATTTGACTTCATGCGGCACTGCGCAGCACTGACTTAAGGCCCATTTACGTGCGTACCTATGGCGTAGGCTACGCACGTAGCCATGCATTTATACTTGTACGTAGGTCTGTCCGTCATTCTGTGATTACACCCCTAAACCCTAGTTGTGTTGCGTTTTTTCAGATTTTGAGAAAGGAGAGGCTCAGTCCAATGAAAATTAACAAAAAGATTTAATTACAAAAATTAGTGAATAAAGAGATGGCATTACAGAACAAACAAATAACACTGCAGTGGACTGAAAAGTTGGTCCTCCGTTCAGATTTACAGCTTTCAGTCAAGTCCGAACAGACTGAGCTAAAGCCGCCTCCAGCAGTGGACTGAAAAGCTGCTTCTCCTCCCAGATCCACAGCTTACAGTCCTGATTCTCACAAAATAAATTGTTAATATCCTCCAGGTATGTGGGCGGGTCCATTTTCCTCCAAATGGCTTAGGTCCATAGCCATTGGTCGTCACCCAATTGGGAAGGGTGTACCTTACTGTTCTACCTTTTGGTCGAACAAAAGAACACTGATCCCAGACGTGAAACCCCGCTTCAATCTACAGGAATAAACAGTCTTTTGCTCTAAACTAATCATAGAGAACAACTGGGCTTGTCTCCAAATGGTTGACACCTTGACCTATCTTAAGTGTCAATGAAACAGTCAAAACAAAACAGTCCTTCTGGCACTAAACAAAGAGGTGTCAGTTTTCTTCACATTACAAAGAGGATACAAACAATGGTTTAATCAACATTCTAATGCAATTGCCTGGCCTAAAATCCTGCAGTTTTACATTTGAAGAAAAACACTGAAACACTGGAATTAAGTTTGTTGTAACTTTTTAAAACTCAACAGTTGGCAATAGCGCTGCAGCGTCCACCGTGTTGACTTTTGCCGGCTGAGCAGGTTAACTTCCGGCTTAGCGCTCCGCTAACGTAAATGTGGGTAAAATTGTATACATGCGGCTGGTGTAGCCTTTTCAAATGTTACCGACCAGTCATTTCGCTCAGGTTGCAATGGTCAAATATATTGATTCACTGTGTTACAGCCGCTGTTTTGGCTGCTAAATGTTACTTCAAAGCGCAGGGTACCTCTGGTCGGCTCGGAGGCATTGCGAGGCTACCCAGCCGACCAATCACAGATGTTACGGTCCGCATCGACTCGACTTGTAGTTACATTTTTGAGGAGGTGCGTACCCTCTGCGTAGCCTACGCATAAGTATAAATTGCACTTTAACGTGATGCATGCTGGATTTAAAATAAGGCTTGCTGGTTAGAAATTGTGTCTGACTTTCGCCAGCGCTGCAATGCATGACATTAAAACCTTGCGGGAGCAAGGCGGCTGCAGGTGCCGAGTCTGGCGGCCGCAGTTGCTTTTCCCCAGCGTCACCAAATTGGAACCAGACTTTTGCCTGGTCTCGCGGCATTATTCTTTGCAAATGCCGCGAGATCATCTCAGCTTACAGTAAGCTCTCGCAGGTAGTGTGTCCGACTTGACGGCGCCATTTTTATTCCCCGCCACTGCAGTCACCTGCAGCTCAGGTTAGACTATCAACTCGGCGAAAGTCACCCGCCGTCATCTCGAACGCACCTACTTTTTTCTTCTCTTGATTAATACCGCATTGTAAACAACGTTTAGGTGCATACCGCCATCTACTGTTCAGGAGTGTGTAACACACACATAATTCGTGATTTCCAATTGACACTTGAAACTACGTTTAAAACAATCTTTCTACCAGATTGCTGGAATAGCATTATAATAGCACTATCATTAGCATGACAGTCTTCATTTATCAGTTCAAAAACACCAAAGAACGAGGTAGAAATAGGGTAAAAGATGCGAGCTTTTATTTGAAATGTAGAAACTAGCGGAAGGCACCAAGCGGGAGGCCATGAGAGGGGGAGGCCATGAGAGGGGGGAGGCCATGAGAGGGGGAGGCCATGAGAGGGGGAGGCTCCAGGCTGCAGCCATACCGTCTCGAAAATCTGACGAACACGGTAGGAGTTAATATGTCTATGTTAACAACCACCAGAAGAGGGCGGTAGTGCAGCAGTAAGGAATCCAGTTGCCGTTGACCCTCGATAAAGCACAAGAAGAAGCAGGAGCAGTGGTTGGCCATTGTGTCTCTCCGTACCTCTCACTGACAATAAGGAGGAGAAGACGGTGTCCTGGCTAACAAAGTGAGGAATATGCGCTCACTTGTAGGATTATTTGCTGTGGTTGCTGCAGCAAGCCTGTACCTGTACTCACTGTCCCTGTACCTTCCTGCGGGACCACGACGGCGTCTTCCGTCAGCCGCCGACAGGAGACATGTGGAGACAGCGGAGTCCGAGCAACCCACTGACAGCTCCGAGGAACCCAGCAGGTGACTGGTCATGCTATAGCCTTATTAGCCACAACAGTAAAGTGTCTATCTTGGTTACATATAAACTATTTTAAATGGTATGCTATTTTAACGTTACTGTCTCTCACGCTAGCTAATGTTAGCCTGTTCCCATCCCACCCGCTCACTCCTTCAAAGCTAACTGGGCAGGATGCTGTGATGTAACGTTAAATATTTCCGTCAACTCTGTTTATTAGTTACGTTACACAACAGCGTAATGTAATAATGGATACATCATTTAGCTACTTTAAATGATAAAATTACTAAAGGTTACAGACCAAAGCGATAACTTCAGAACTGATTAAAAACACTACTGTTGGCTGATTTAGCGAGAAAAATGAGCGAATCTGGAACAAAGTTTTCCCTCCTGGGTGTCTTAAGACCACATAAATCGTCCTGTTAACAAGGCAAATTTAGATAAGATAAGATGTGCCTTTTAAGCAAAAAGTCAGAGGTGTAGAGAGTGAACAGAAAAGGTACAGTTCCCTGGGGTGTGCCTGTGCTCCTGCAGCCCTGCAGCCTGTTAACATGGCAAATTTGAACGTCTTAAGACTACAGAAAATATCATGTTAACACATCCATGTTGGGGGATACTACTTCATCAGTTTCTGAGGGAAAACTCTTTCATACAATAACTGCAAGGGACAATAAAAACATCTCCCAGCAGGAGATCTTTAGAAATAAAGTCGCTGAGGGTCTGAAAAAGGTGTACAGCCGACCACAATAAAGATCAATAAACGGATATCCAAAATATAAGCAATGCCAAAATATTGTGTCTTGGAGTCTCTCTCAAGCAAGTGTCTACAATTAATTCAAAATGATCAATGATTATGTTCATGACATTGAAAATCAAGTCCCTTAAGTCACAAAGTTGTAATGATTGTAATCCAGAGAAATTTACTTAATCATTGATCAACAAAATTGTAATGAAGCATTATTTGTGTGTGTGAATTTCCCATTGTTTATTGAAAATTAGTTATAGGCTAAATTTGATAAACCGAATGAGATAGGGCTGTAATTAAGTAAAGTAAGTCATTTTTGCTTAATCTGCAGTTATTTTCTCAATTAAATTATTGAATTGAAAGTAATCATTAATCTAAAAAATTGTGATGCCCATCACAATTTCATAAAGCCCAAAACCCAAAGTTGAACAGGTGACAATCACATGAAACTCTGATGGACATAATAATTATTTTGCTCTAAAAATAACTTCAAGTATTAATTGATTATCAGATAAATTGCAGATTTATTTTTTGTCCATCCACTCATTAATCAACTAAGTTTAAACAATTAGATCTGAACAAATGTCTTTTAAAACTACAAATATCATCATGCTTTAATTTACCAGTTGAAAATGCTGGCTATTTATGATTTTATATCTGTTAGCAGGTAAACAGTGTCAATATTAATTAATATTTGATTACAGTGAAGTCTTTGACCGTATTTTCCAACCGTGTCTAACTGTGAAAGATGAGTAGAAGACTTAACTAGCTTGAGTATGGGATGTTTTCGCAGGTTGAAGTTCCCTTCGGACTTGGAGGAGCTGAGGGAACTGGCTGAACTCCTGCAGTTTTACAAGACGGAGCACACTGAATACGTCCTGCTGCTCTTCTGCAGTGCATATCTCTACAAGCAGTCCTTTGCCATTCCTGGATCCTCGTTCCTGGTAAGGTAAAAATTGTTTCAAATATTCTCTGCACTAGAGCTGCAGCCAACTATTTTTTTCATTGTCAATGAATCTGTTGATTAGTCGCTCGATTAATCGATTAGTTGTTTGGTCTGTAAAATGTCAGAAAATGCTGAAAAATGTTAATCAGTGTTTCCCAAAGCCCAAGATGACGTCCTCAAATGGCTTTTTTTTTGCAGACAATAGGGCTGAACAATATGAAAAAAAAATCATATTGCAATAATTTGGACAGATATTGCTATATGTGATTTTTGCTGGTGTCTGTACCAAAAAGAGCATGTTCCTGTTAAGTCTGGATAATACAGTTTGTGTTGGCCGGGGCATCACTGGAGCACCACAATGCTTCATTTTTAATTGTATGTTGTGACACATTTACGTTTATCAAAAATTTGCAGCTCCTGTGATTTAGACATTGCACTTGACTATATTGCAGTTTTGATAATATTTCGATAGTTAGTCCATAAATAAAATATTATCAGACAAAGAGGAGTAAAGAAAGTATAAAGATTTAAGATGCTGGAATAAGAGAATTTTGATTTTTGTTCTTAGAAAACTACTAAAACATATTAATTCGTTTCAGCAGCCCTAAACCAGTTAATCAGTGCAGGTCTACTTTGCACCGATGCTGGATAAGAAGGCAGACATTCTTGTAAGGAAGGCAAAAACAGTGGCCTTTGGAAGTGTTAAAAAATGTATTTCATCTTTATGGTAAGAATTAGTCACAGCATTTTGGATAAAAATATTCAGCTAGCTCAAACAACAAAGGCCTTTGGGTCAATGACATGACGTGGATATTTTTGTGTCCAAGTGAATTCTTTTCTGTTAAAGTAATTTTAATCAATTCATGACATAATACATATTTTATAAAAACAAAAACCCATTTGGTGTGAATACATTTTCATTTTCAACATTATAATGATATCTATTTTATGTTTTGGCATCTAAAACTCCCAAAATGTCAGGTGGTGCAAATAAACAGATTAAGAAAATATTTTAAATTGTGTTTTAAGCATATTAAATTCAACTTTTAGTCAGACTGATTCACTTTCCATGTCAGGTGGTACAACCAGTGTAATACTGGAAAGTTATTAATTTATCATGAAACCTTTTATTTAATCAAACCAATATGTATGAACTTGCTAGCAAAAGCAAAAGTTAATACAAGTTTCATACTATAAGCCTGTTATATTTGAAATAAGTTATAAAGTCAGGTGGTGCATTCAGTATGTCAGGTGGTGCAAATGCAAGGAAAGTTATTCTAAAGTGACTAATGTTTGGCTTGATAATGAAAATTTTAAAATTTGTTTTAAATTAAGAATGTTTTACCGCGTCTAAGCTTTTTCATGAGAATAGGTTGTGTTTACTAGCTTCAGAAGAGCTGCGTTCAATTCTACCAATTTAATAAGGCACCTAAAAAATGAACACTAAACAGAATACAGTGAGTTCACTTAGGTAACTCAATCCGAAGCAACACACGAGGATACTGTTAAGGATAGAGAAATTTAATTAAACAGTGATCCTGAAGTGTACACTATGCAACTGTATTTAGTAAAATATAAGTATCGGATCGGGACTCGGACTTGGCAGATACTAAATATTAAATGACTCGGATCAGGGGCAAAAAAAGGTGATCAGAACATCCCTATTTGTAGTTATCTGAAGATGAAGATAGAGGGAAAACTGTGAAACTCCCAATTTAGCCAGCAGTCCAGAACAGCAAAAAGTGAGGCAACAGTGGAAGCAAAACCGGTGAAAGCACAGGGAGAGGAACATTTAAAACGTTGTTCAATTACAATGGAATACGTAGGGGTGGGAATCACCAAAGGCCCCACAATACGATATTATCACGATACTTATGTCACGATACCATATTATTGCGATTTTAAACATATTGCAATTGTGTCCCCAAAGGAAAATTCTTTTTCTAGTGGACTGAAAATGCTATTTTATTAGTGCCAAAAAACAAACTTCTCATGTACAATTTATATAATAAAAGATCGATACTTGACGTTCGTGTTACGATACAATATAACATCGCGATACTATGCTGTATCGTTTTTTTTTTTTCACAGTGAATCCACTGCACTGTAGCCTGTTTTTAATCAGTTCATTACTTTTACTTCAACAGAGACTGTTGACTAAAACACCTTTTTTGTATTTGAAAGAAAATTGCAATTTTACAGTATGTTCGCTGTCATTACTAATATGTTGTCAGGTGGCGCAACTGAATTGTCAGGTGGTGCGACCAGCTACAATATTGATTTAAACTGATAGGTTGAAGCGAACATATGGTTTAAAACAATGATGATCATGAATACTGTATTGAAAACGTCAATTTTTATTTTTGTATAATTATTTTTCCATCACTAAATGTAAAATTGGATGCTAAAGATACTAAATAACTGGCTTCTAGAATGCAATAATCTTAGATAATTGTAAATACAAATCACAAGCACAAAATAATAATTTGTTAAGCCTATAGACACTCTAGGGAATACTTGCCAAAGCTATAAATTAGAATAAATAGTAGGAAAATATATATGTTGTTACAAATATTTGGTTGCGCCACCTGACATTTTTTGGGCTGTGAAGTTACAAAAATGTGTTTAAACACTTTAAAATGTTATTTAACAAATAAAACTTGTTTATACACATTGTTCTAATTTCAAAAATATGAATTATATCTATTTTGAAAAGACTTGAACTGACTTTAAAAACAAAACAAACATTTTTTGAAGCTTTTTATGTCATTTACCCTTTTGCGTTTTGGACTTTTGTGACAGTTTTTATTCCCAGTTTAATCTGTACAGCCGAGTGTGCCGCACAGAGAAGAGGCCTCAGCCACACACCACATGCTGGTTAAAGTGACTCTAACCCAACGTCTCACACTTAAAACCACTGTTGGATCACAGAGGATTTAGAAACCGTAGATCTGTGTGTCAGAGCTGATCATTACACATTTTGATGATGTCTAGTAACACAGTCCTTATCTGCTTGTCTTTGTGCAGAACATACTAGCAGGAGCTATATTTGGACCATTTCAAGGGCTGCTGCTCGCCTGTGTACTCACCACAGTCGGCTCCACCACATGCTACCTCCTGTCCCAGGCTTTCGGAAAACGCTATATTGTTAACCTCTTCCCTGATAAAGTCTCCATGCTACAGAGGAAGGTAAATCAGTGTTCTCATTCAAGCCAACAAATATTGAAAATGTTGTGTAAATTATATTTGACAACATACGAACTTCTAAAGCAATGATGCGCTTAGTTTAAAGCCGGGACAATGTCGTAAAAACTAGCAAGAGACTGCTAGATTTTGAAAGTATCCAACTGAATGACAGGCTTTCTTTCAAAGCCACAACAAAAATACAAGAACAAAAATACATTGCCTACCCCAGCTCTTACCAAGTAACTGTTCTTCCTGGGTTGTATATCTTCTACATAGGGAGATAAAGATCAGCACACTGCTGACTATAAATACACTGCAAGGCTTGGTAAAAAACAAAAACAAAGTGTAAGCCATCAGAGATGTTTCTTAAAGCAACTGCAAGGCACTTCTTTCTGCAGCCCCTGTGGACAAAAGCGGTAGTTTCCACCGCCTCGGGTCGTAAAGATCTTGATGTGGCTAGCGAGCAAGTGGATTTGTTTTGGAAGCGAGTGAAAGAAAGACGCAACTTGTTTTTAATAATACATCAACATTCCTTAAAAATGTTCTGTATTCGTAATAATAAGAAAACAGAAAGATATAGTTCAGGCCAAAATAAAATGTCATGTTATCAGCCATTTCTTTTACAATACTATCCAGCGTGACCTATACCTCCATGGACTGTACACAGCCAAATAAAACAGACATAGCATACCTTCCTGGAGGAAGACGGACAATTCAGGATCGGTTTTGAATAATTTCAAATCCCTCAATTCTCCCCTATGTGTTGAACCCTGAACCAAGATCGACTCCCATTTTCTCTTGGCTTATCGTGCCCCAGTATCAGCTATAACCACAAAATATAAAGACAGAAATAAAAGTCCTCTTCTGCTTCCTTTTAACTAGCTAACGTACCACTCACTGTAAAAATGTAAACAACAGCAACAACAACAGCCACAGTCACAGAATATTATGTGGTGTAAATGTTTACAGGTTTTATCACCTCCCCTAGGAGGTGTTATGTACTACTATTTCAGGTTTCATTATGAAATATGACACCTACGTATGTGAACGCGAGGTGAGGTTGCGTACTGACATTGAATCAGAGTCTATACTGTACGCCTCCATTTAGAATTTAAAGTTGTATTTTCCTGACCCGATGTATTATTATGTGCAAAGTTATACCAGGAGGTGTTTTGCAGTGTTATTAACTAAATCTTATTCTACTATAACGAGGTTAAATGATGACTCTTGTCATGTTCCTGTTGAAAATCTATTCAGCAGGCTGTTGTGGTTACTGTCAGTTGACACTGTTCATAAACCAGTGTGACATAACACTGACACCCAAAAGAGAAATTACTATCTATCTTACGATAGATAGTAATTAGTAGTATTAGTAGTATCTATCTACTGTCCCTTCATTGATTCAAACATCTCGTTTAACATCTCGTCCTTATCTCCCAGGTCGAGGAGAACCAGGACTGTTTGTTCTTCTTTCTGCTCTTCCTGAGGTTCTTTCCCATGACTCCCAACTGGTTTCTGAACATGTCTGCCCCGATTGTCAACATCCCCATCACCTTCTTCTTCTGCTCGGTCTTCATTGGTAAGAACAGACACCTGCACACCTGATTGACGGCTTGCTGTCAATAAATGATGATGATTCAAAACGGAAAAACAGATAAACAGAAAACAAAAAAAACAGACATTTTCTTTTTCTTTTTTAAAACCAAAACAGAAAAATATTGATTTGATATTTAATGAGTCCGATTTGTGTTACACTTAAACCTGCAGCAGATACACTTGGGCGATTGCGGTGCCTGATTAAATGTAAATGTAAATTTTCAATTTGTTGATAGCCCCTTGAGATGCAGCATCTCGTTTTCAAGAGGGTCCAAATACACACATAAATAAGATGAGCTAGAAAAACAGAACAATATTATATAGCTGCAGTACTGGAAGCTGCATCTATATAGCCTAATATTAGCTCAACGTTCAGTTTGTAACTCACTAGCAACTGTAACAGGAACGCATTCCTGAGAATCCTCCAGTTTTTAAGATTTCTTAAATTATTTCAGTGGTAGTTGTCAGTACATCCAAACGGGACACTGCAAATATGAACTGGTATTAGTTAGTTCGGGGAGCTGTATATTAACGAATCATACACGGATTAAAATTTTCGGGTAAATTTCATTCATCTCTACACTGTTTCGAGATGACCTTTATTTTCTTTTTGAGATGGAAGAATTTAGAAAGTTGCGCTGCGCTGCGGAGAGCGTCCAGCTGCAGTAACACATGGATTATGCGAGCTCAGCCTTTATCCAGCCAGAGGGAACGACCACTGACCGTCCAGTGAGCCGGTTCCACTGGCAACACAACCCATAGTAGGGTGAACGGAGGGGGGGCAGGGGGTTGGAGCATGTAGGGCGAGGGAGAGGAGGTTGCACCCTGACCTTAGCCTCAAGAAAAAACCCTTGATAAACATATTCGGGTATTTTTTGTTGAGATCGCTCAGCTGCTTCAGATCCCAAACAAAATGCTTCCTTGATTCTGACGTACTTAAGCTAGAAATAGGAGAATTTTGAGTGTTTGAGGCTACAATCATATTCGCCATAGTTGATATGAGATGCGACCTGACAAGAAATAGCCTTATATATAAAATATTTGGCCTAATGTTGACTTTTTGTTTCACAGGATACACGAACACAAGTCTCCTGGTTCAAAAGTCCTGGCCCTCCTTTCACCCCAACCATGTTCTAACTCAGTCTTTTCTGTTAAATATCTCATACCTGCCTTTACCGTCACAAACTGACGCTACAGGGCTTCCCCCACTGCATTGACCTATGACACTATAGGGATTCCCAGTGCGTTACAAACGCCGATAGGCCTTGATCATGCGTCCATATGTGACGAGTCGGGGAGTGAGAACGGGTTGTAGGGATACAACACTGGTCAAAGATAGAACAAAACGCAGCTCCTTTGTTTTCCCTTATGGATTTAAAACAGAAAAACCAAACAATGACTTGGTTTTTTGTTTTTTCTGATTTGGTTTTGAAACGTAGTAATTAAAGAACAAACCATACACTCTAAATCAAAACAACACAGACCATTTTCAATTCTTTTGATCCCCCAGATAAACAATGTAGACACCAAAAGAAAAAGGACTTTACATTCACCTAAATCAATGTTGAAAAGGCCACTTTAATGGCTGCTCATATTTGGTTGCTCCTCTTTGTATTAGTGTTGGTTATTACGTGCCTTCTGATTTAAAGTGTTCATTGTTTCTGTCCTTTTTTATCTAACAAAATCACAGAAAACGGGGATTCAATTCAAACAAGAATACCAGATAAAACTGCAAATAGCCCTTCTTATAATGTCCACCACAGTTTTTTTATTGATCTACTTGCTTTCATAGGTCTCCTGCCGTACAACTTCATATGTGTCCAGACAGGCGTCATGCTGTCCGAGGTGTCGTCACTGGATGACTTGTTCTCCTGGGAGCGGCTGCTGCAGCTGCTGGCCATTGCCTGCATGGCACTGCTGCCTGGCGCCCTCATCCGCCGCTTCAGTCAGAGGCGTCTCAAACTGGATGTCCGTTCGCAGAACGGGCTCGTTGCAGATAAGAAAGTCAAGTGATCTGTTCTGGAATCGAGTTTGTTTGTTTCCTTGCACTTTGATGACCTCTGCCGTGAATGTAATTAGTGGTGACTCTTCAGAAAAACCTTATGCACATACATGTGTAAAGGTTTCTTTTATCTGGGAGTGCTTTACTTTTCTGGAGCCACATGGAGATGGAGAGGTTTTAGAAAAATAAGAGTGGCACAGTGGGATTTGAGGCCAAGTATTTTGTTTGACCAAATGTTGGTGTTTCTGTGCCATGGCGCCTGTTGGCATGCACAGTATATGTATATTATTTGGCTTCGATTATGAAAAGAAGATTATTGAGATAAACCAATTATTGTGCTGCATTCCGTTTCACAATGATGCTCTTGTTTTGTCTTGTAAATCCAGCGCATCCCTTTCCTTTACAGCGGTGGCTCTCGCCTATGTCTAAAAGCCCAAACTCTCTCTCAGCCAGGCTGTGACATATTAAGTTCAGCTCAAGCCAAGATGACAGGGGTAAAGACTGCTATAACTGGCACCATTATTAGCTTAAGCCTTTGGCATTTTACACTACATAAATAAGCCCAGTGGCTAGTGGACCTTTCCATAGCTTATAAATTACATGTATTTTTACTTTTGTTACTAATCGTTGATTTAAGTCACTGTATTTCATGAGAGAACACCACGGTTGAATTTCAGCATTATGTAATATTACGTAAGTTGTCGTCCACTCCAGTAGTTCACCTGTCACCTGCTCAGCCCCCCCAGGCAGCCCATCTGCAGTCAACCTATCGAAACACTGCCTTTCTGTCATTCTGTCACCTCTAAGAGGCTGTTTAAATTTAATAATGTTGGATGACTATTTCTTATAACTTGGGCTATTTGAGATTTTTGGTGTTCTGCATAATAACTTTTTTTTAATGGAGCATTAAATAATTATGATTATGATTTTCGTTGTAATGGAGCAGCCCTAATGTATATAGATATATGAATGTACAGTAATTATATGGAAAGAGGGAGGGGTTTTAGGGAAACTTTCGTGTTATACAGTAAGAGTACTGCTTCAATGTTAACAGCTAGTGTTTCAAGTGCCTGTCATCCCTGGTTCAAACTTCTACCTCCAAAAATGACAGCCTACCAGTGTTCATAGTGGCTGGATGGTTCCAATGATTGTTTTTTGGGTTTGTTTGGATTATTATATTTGTAATGTAAAAACTGATCATGTTTGCAGTGTATGTTAAACAACTTGGAAGTTGTATTTTTCTTGTGTGACAATCACATTTTGCAATTTTAGTATAAATTCTAAGAGTGTATAGGACAGTTTTTACTATTTTTCAACTCTGCTTGAACTTAAAAGATTTTTAAAATTGTAGAGACCAGAATAATTGAATTGAATAACAAAATGTACAGCCCTGTTTTACCATGTCATATCTAATCAGCTGGATTCATATCTGAAAGTGAATGTGCAGTTTATTCAGGCAGTGTGAGGCCTCTGTTAAACCAAGCCTTAATATTGCATTGCAATCCTTCTCTTTGCTGCCTCTTTTCACGGTCCATGTGTCTTTTGTACATTACCTGTCCAGCAGCTTCTGCGTTGCACAAAGTGTTTTAAAACTCTTTCTTAATTTTGCTGATGTAAAATGTTATGTCAGCTTTCTGTTTCTTCAAAGATGTGAATTCTTTTAAGTGTAATCTAATGCAGACTTTGGCTGGTACATTTGTCAGATTATAAATGATGTGCCACCTTTTTATTCCAGAGACGACAAAAAAAACTTTGAAATAATAAATCAACAGTAAACATGGAACACAGCCTTTTGTTTTTTCAAATATTCTTTATTGCTCAGATCTAGGTTGCTCAGCAATACAGTTCACTCACAACTCAAAACAACAGCATGGCTGTTACCAGAAAGGCATGGATCCACGAGATGTGTTTAAAAATGGATCATTTGTCTGTCCAGTGCACAGTCACCGATCACCTTGAGGTGTTTGGGACCGTTTGGCCCATGGGGAATTGTAGAACTTGAGGGTTGTTGACCTACTGAGGAAACAAAAGGAATCTCCCAATTGGTGAAATGCAGTTAAGAAATGGATCCATGTGAATCCACTACTGAAAGTCTAGTGCTATATGAAGTGTAGTAAATACTGGACCGCCGTCAGTCTCGTGCAGTGCTTTGTGTTTTCTCATTGAACAATTAGACAGGACAAAAAACACTGCTGTGGTTCTGCATACATCCGGCCAGACTTCGCTAAATCCTTTTCTCGGCTAATCCATAATTTTAGGATGGTTGTTGAATGCAGAACAAGTTTTATCAGATTTTATTTTTTATTAATGTGTTTTTTTTGGACCTGGATACACCCTCCTTCCTTCTTTGTATGTCACAGATTCATTTTATTTTCCCATTCTGATTCTCCCAAATTTGTTCAAAATTAGAGCTAGGACATTTTTCAACCACAATTAAAAGCTAGTATTATTGGTAGTGATCTAACAGGAATGAATATTATAAGCAAAGAATCCCAGCTACTGCTCCGGACTACATTATTAAATCAGTGTAAATGACGCCAAAACAAAACAAAACAAAAAAAAGCCTAAACTATCCAACCACCATGTGATATGACTAACAACACAGTACACCCTCAGTGATGTGTGTAATTGTGGTTTTCTGGTACTGAATATTAATGTCTAGCAACACCCCACAAAACCTAGAAACACCAATCCTTGGAAGTAAAAAAGAAAAGAAAAAGAGAAAAAAGGTTACTGTCATCTTGACAAGTTTCGCCTCAGATTGCGGTTGGCTTACAAATGTCTCAACAAGCAGGACGCCGTGCTGACAACACCACAGTGTAACCGAACCACCTCATAGGGAAACCTGCACTTACTGTATAAAGAGCCAAAAACACAAGAGAGACAGAGGCCTGAAGAGTCCTCCGCAACGCAAGAAAAGAGCCTCAGCTTCAAAACTGCTCTAAAAAGCTACTGCTTGACAGTCAAACAAACCACGAGTGACAAACTACAGTTTCCAGTGCTACCGTGAAAAGCCGTTTTCTCCCCGCGACATGGCCCTACTACAGTGAAGCAGACCACCACAGGAGTCATGCGTTCGAGTAGAAGCACCGTACTGCATCCGTGTGGGTAAGGTCGGGGTATTTGAATCAGCTCTGGTGAGCTCTCATCATCAGTGTGAGGTACTGTACCGGCTGTGGGGAGGCTTGCTGAAACAGCCTCAGGCATTGTGTGAGTTTGATAGACCTTTATGTTTTGTTTAAGCACTGCTAGTCTGTGTTCACTGGGACAAAAATGATCCACCTCATCTGATGACAAACGTCTGCCCTCCAAAAAGTAAAAATCAACTCTCAACAGTCAACAACAAGACAAAAACACTAAATTTCACTATATCATTCATTTATTTTAATTCTTTTGCCCTACATCGGTTTTAGTAACTAAAGTCAGCCTTGGATTCTGAGAGGTAATTCTGAAATGTACAGCACAAATAAAAATTAAAATTAAATCGGTAGATTGATGGGAAAACCGTTTAGAGGTCAGTTTTGAGGGAAGCTGTGACGCTCTAAATTTCTCCCACCATATCTCACAACGCAGGTGCAGACTGGTAAGTGTTATAGAAAGACAGAAAACGATGCATTTATGTGTGACTCTATCGTACATGTTTACAGATATACAGTTATCTTGTTGTACACAGTGACATTTCAACGACTAGAGTTGTTCTACATTCTACACAGAAGACTACCATGTTCAAGAGTCCTGTCAGTGTATTTTTGCAGCTTCGTGTTTTCTTCAAATCAACCCCAGAGTATGCTGTTAACAAATAGAGCTGGTAAGATCGGGTTGGGTTGCTATAAAATTATTTTTTTTCCCACAAATGAATAAACTTCATTGTTATTTTTAAAACTCTAAAAAACCTGGAGGTACAGTCAGGAAAAACAGGAGGTACAGTTGGTTGGTTTCTGTTTCTATCAACTGATTTGTATCTTTTTCTTTCTTTGACGGTGAAATCAGTACACAACATCCACATTCAGAACCACTTCGGGCAGGTATGTACCCCTTAGATCCTGCTCTTCATTCCTTTCTAGCAAAAACTTTGAAATCCTTTTGACGTGTATCATTAAGAGGTTGTATTGCGTCCAGGCAAAGACAGTCCAACAGAGTTGACTACGGTTTACAAAGTTTCACTAGTCGGCTGGACCTGAAGAGTTTAAAGATTACTGTAGGTCTTTTGTCTTTTTCTTTTTTTTTCATTAAAAAAGAAAATTAAAAACGCTCAAAATGATCAGGTAACAAGGCATACAAAATGTGGAAAAGGGGAAATGAAAGATTGGACTGAGGTACCCTGAAGCCTGAGGTAGATCACAATACTGACATGCGCACTGTTCACATCCTGACCAAAGTTAACGCGATGGTTCACTTTACTGTTCTCCTATTTTTTCAGGTTTTTATTTATATTATTATTCATAGTCTAGTTTTCAAGAAAATAAACACTTCCCTTCAAAATAATATGGCAGTGTCCCACTGAGGAAAAAAAGAAAAGGACTTTGTTTTCTTTTAGTTTCTTATCAATAGCTCTCATCACAAAATAGGAAAAAAATAGATTCATAAATATTACTCTCTCTTTTATATATATATACACACACGCTTGCGTACACGCACATACACACATACACACACACGGAGGAAGCTGTGCGTATTGGCAATAACCTTGTGTCTGGAAGATGAAGCTGATGGGTGAAGTCTGAAAGGTGACAAAATAAGGCAACAAGCTTCCATGGTCTCCAAAGTAAAGCACAAGGGGACACCAGGACCTGCGTGTCCAGCGTACTCACAGAGTGGTAGGCCAGCTCGCCAAAATAAAACAAAAAAAAAGTTAAAAGAAGAGAGCGAGAGTGAGAATGACAGTCTGTGTGTCTGTGCCTCTGGCCCGGCCTGCTGGACACGGCAGGGGTGATATTTCTAAAAAGGCTGCATATTGTACATTCACAGCTGTCATGCCGTTTTAGAAAGCTCCCTGACAAAAGGGGTTAAAGCCAAACGCGGCTGCGGTCATGTTTGCGGTTGTGTGTGTACCACAGGTCATACAGTGCCTCCCCATAACACCCACCCCCCCCCACCCCTTTAACCCCAAACTCTTCCTCACTGCCACTCCACACCACGAGTCTGCACCCTCCCCATCCCGCACTCCCTGAAAAACCCCTTCCCCGTTCTGGGCCCTCAGCTCACATTTTGTGTTGGCCCTCCTGACGTCCTCATAAGGCAGAGCGTGTGGCAGGTGCACGTTCACAATGACTGGTCGCCCATTAACAAGCAAAGGTGCACCACTTTTCTTTTTAAGACGTCAATTTTTGCTCTGGTCGTCGTCGAAGGATTTTTTTTTAATATTAGGACAACAAGCATGAATGTACATATAGTCTAGTGTACAGCATGGGAGAGTGATACCAGTTTACTGGTAAAACAAAACCAAAATCCCTCTGTTGCAGTTAACATCTATTCTGTTGAGCAAAAGTGGCAGTCAGTTTGATGTTATCAAAAGCCTATGGAGAAAAAAAAAGTGTTTATTGAAAACAAACCTTTTTATCCTATTAAAAATACATAATGGCAGATGAGAGAGAGAGTGATGAGAAAGTGAAGCAGAAGTTAGCAGAATAGAAAGAAAAAAAATAAAGTGTAGCATCAGACATGAATGGAGAGGGACGTTATCTTTTGCGTTGGCACACACACAGGCTTGTTACAAAGACTCAGAACCATTCACCATATTTACTTTATAGGGGTTTTCTTTTTTGATTTCAGTGGCCTATGTGAACAAACAAGGGAAACCGCTTTATGTGGCTGTCACAGCCCAATCAATCTCTGGAACAAGCAAAATATTAAAAACTCCACCGAGTTGTACTGTCATTTTCAAAAATAACAGCGCATCCTCCGGGTGCATCAATATACTTTTCTACTCTGTATTAATACTGCTAAGGATATTTCATCTTACAGTCTGAAGATCATCTCAATCTCTTGTGAGAGAAGGTGTCCATTGTCCCTCTCTCTCGCTCTAATCCAAAATATCAAACACAATGCCTCGTATACGCTCGTGTTAATACAGCTTTATCTGTTTGTTAGGCCTATGTTAGTCCAACTAAAGAGATAACGTTATGCAGGGCGACATACTATTTCCTGTTGACCTTTTTAACTGTGAAGACAACAGTTCCCAAATTCTCTGCCATTTCCAACTTTCTTTTAGAATTTTTTTTTTGGTCTTTTTTTAAATATTATATTATATCAGTACGATTTCTCCCACTCTATCTGCTCTCACAGGGCTGGCAGTGCACACAATGCCCTCAGCCTTTGGCTCTCACTTGTTTCCCCCCGAATGAAGTTCTTTGGTTTTGATCCCGGTGCTGCTGGTCTGCCCTGCATGTCCCCCTTGGCCTTGGCCTTTGTCTTGGTAGGTCTCTGTCCGTTTGGGAGGGCTACATTCATTGGCTGGCGCCCGCTGGAGCCACCCCGCTGGTCACTTGGAGTGGTGCGGTGACACGGCGGCGCCCTGCTGGTGCTTCTGTTCCTGCTGTTTCACCTGCTGAATGATCTCCCGGATCTTCCTCTGTGCAGTCTGTTGGAGAGACATCACATGTGGGACGAGGAGTTAATTGTCTCATGACAAGATGTTGACATTAAAATAATGGACAGGGAAGAACTACCACAATGTAAAAAGGAAGAATAATGATCATTAAATCCTACATGGAATTATATACATCGATATATGTAAAATGTATCTGAAAGACTGTTGATGTGCAGATAACTGACAAGTTTCTATGAATTGCAAAGCATCAAGAAGGGTAAGCTGAAATATGAGGGGGGATGAATTGTATGTTTGTTTATGTGTTTTTCTTTCTTTTTCATTTGCTTTCCTCTATTTTTCCCCCTGCAATTATCTGTCTGTCAATTGTATTAATGTATGGTATAAATATGCGTTGGTGCCGTTAGCTGGGGACGGTGTCAAACTAATAAAAAGCAAAACCAAACCAGTGAGCTCCAGCTGAATTTATCATTGTGATGGCAGAAAATTGTTTTCTCTTTTAGTTCTTTTATGCAAGTGCTTATAATAGTACTACTTTTCTATTATTATGTCTTATATATTCTTTTAATATATATTCTTTTCTTTAACCTTTTCTTTTTATTATAATACTCATTATCCTAGTCTGTCCACATGTGTAGGGTTTAGGTCAGAGATGTGAAGTTGTTTTATTGTTTTCCTCACCCAGCCTTGACTGGGACCAGTCAAGGCTGGGAGAGGATCTTTGTTCCCCAAAACATAGAAACCTAGCCTGTGTAAATGATTATGCATCCATTTGCTTGGGGCCAGATGTTGATGACTGTCCTAGGAGACAGAACCTCTGGTCCAGCTGATTTATGTTGTACTTCTCTGTTTATTCTCTTTTATTAATAAACCACAATTTTAACAGATAAAGACAACGGTTTGTTGTAACTCAATTATTTGCTCAATCCCTCACCAGGAATACCACAATTTTCCATTACAATCATCATTCATTTTTTTTGACAATACAGCTTTTGTACATGTACACGAGAAAATCAAAAATCAAAAATCAAAGATCAAAACAATCCCAACTCAAGGTCCACTTTCTAACCTGTTCTGGAGATTTCAATCATATCAGACAGTCTTCATCATTGGATGGAGTTTGCTCAGTTGTCTCGTAGATGGATCTGTTTACAATTAATTAATTATTAAAAGCTACTGGGCTTGCATGCCTAGTTGTCTCCATGGCACTAGACCATGTGATATGGTTGAAAGCTTCAGAAAAATCAAGTACAGTAAGTGAACCTTGAGTTGGGATTGTTTTGTCCAAAAATAATTGCTGTTATATCTTTGTTAAACAGACAACATGCTCACACCGACCAGTAAGACATTACACTGTTTAATGACTCCCCTGTTCACAGAGCCTTACACCTTGTTTTGCGTACCTGGCTGGCAAAGAAATGCCCACTGATTTTCACAAAGACCTCATCATTCTCGTCTGGAGTTTGGTCCCGCGGTACGATGACCTCAGCGCTTGTAAGGTTCTGCAGCTCGTTTACCTGGGGAAAAAACACTCCAGAGATCATCATCTTGCTTTGAATGTCACCTCCAGCCTCACTTACAAAACATGCTGACAGACAAAGTATCAAATTATGGCACACTGAAAACACCCTTTGAAGAAAACAGGTGTTATTTGGTGTACAGTAAGTGCAAGTCCAAGTAAATGCAATTGTGTAAATATAAATAGTAGCTCATTTCAAAACAACTTGCTGAGTTACTTTTTAATATAGAGAATGTTGATAGAGTTTTTTTTTCCCCGAGCAGAGTTCAAACTACAGTCTTCTGGGTGTGAAGTGGAAATGAAATATTTAAAAGCCAACAAAAAAACTTTCTCTTCTTTGCTGACCGACTGTTACTGTTACATTTGGCCAAAAATGTCTGATGCTTATGGAGATCCCTACTGTGTACTAAATAATTTACACAGTCAATGCAATTTAAGCATCAACTCACCGTCTTGCCGCCTTTACCAATGACCCTGCCGGCTGCAGTTGAGGGAACCTTGATGTGCGTCTCCAGTTTGACCTCCTCCTTCGCTGAGAAGAAGTTCTCCTCTTTCAGCTTCCCAAATATCCGACCTTGGGCCTGGAATACAGAGGAGGGTATGAGGCAAGGAGAGACTGGGGAAAATGGGAGGACACAGTGATCCACTGCAGTTTACTATAATACAGGAAAATATAATAATCATGATTTTCTTTTTAAATCTATAGCAATTTTAAGTAGCAATCTCATCCTCAAAATGTTTGCATACAATTTTAGCATATAATAATGACATTTTAATGCATATTTGTACACACATTGTGTGTCAAGTGTTTTTACCTTAAACTGAGCCTCTGGGGTTCCAGTAATGATTACCATCCTCTCAGTCACATCTGGGCTCTCAGCTGGGGCAATCTGACACACACACACACACACACACAAACAGGTTATGGAGACAAACAAGGAGATAAAATGTGAATTTGTTCTGTGGTCATTCTATCCATGTAACCAGTGAATCATCTGAGCAAATTCCTACAAATACATTGCCTTAGATTACGTTATGAGAATTGACCAGCTGTCCCACCTCACTAGACAGGGCTTGAGGGGCTTTCTGAAATGCCCAACTCACTAGTCATCTCCTTATTTTTGTTTTTGTCTTTGACCACGAATAACTAACATCCTCAGATGTGGTCCGTGAAGTGCTGTTGACTCAGCCAGCACTGACTGCAAACTTGATAACTTCACCTTAACTTCAACTCGTGTTTGAGGGTGTAACGACCGCGTCTTTCCCCCTCCTAACTGAAGTCAGCGCTCTATTGACGCCAGCAAACCCACCTTGATGGAAGCTCCAGCGAAGTGGGCGAGTTGTTTGATGTGCTGCCCCTTCTTGCCAATTAGGGCCCCGACCGCCTGAGTTGGAATAAAGAGGTAGACAACCTCCTGTTCTTGAGCCTGTTGCTGAGATACAAAAAACAGAGCGCACAGGAAAATACATTTCACAATTTCTTTTTTGCTAAACTCCACCGCTGATGGTAGCAGAGAAAAACACTGAAAAGTGCTTTAATTTTACTTAACTCGTCATATACTTGAAGAGCAGCGGAAAACGATGACACCACATGCAAGGAAAGCTAAATTGAGCACTCTTCGAGGGTTTTCTCTTCAGGTAAACATCCCACTCTAGCTGGGACTGAACGGAACATTTCCTATTAAGGCCGATGGTTGCCCTATGTTTTTGTTTATCTTAGCTTGGTAACACTCGTGTATTCGAGGTTTACAAAGTGAATTTTTACGAGCCACAGGACCACTCTGGGCTGAAAAGTCCCCATCCAGAAATATTTGTGGTGTTCTGGTGACTGGGTGATGGTACGCAGGAATGCCAGACTCGCTGTTAGACATAAATGCTGACTGAGAGGTTGTCACAGAGTGTTATTTATGTCTCCGGCTCTATTAGTCTCATATCTTTTTCTTTACACTGTGGCAGCTCCTTGCATGTTTACCACAAGTCACAGTGCAAAGAGAGACTTTACTCAGCACGTACAGCTTAGAAAACATCCACGGTTTGAGGCTTTTCCTAAGATTCTTGTGTGCTAAAAAGCATGGCTTTAAATGCCCTCAACTATTACAATAATTAGCTACCATCACCAACAAATCTAAGTCTCTGATCACCAAGGCTACACTGACAGTAGTGCAGATTGTAGGGAACATACTGAGTGCTGGTGAGGGGTGGCACTTGCTGGAGGAACCCCGTACAGGCCACTGAGTTGTGAAGAGTGACTCTGAAAGTGAAGTGACAAGCACACCGATCAGATGGCACACAAGCACACACATTTATACACACATGCGTATACACAACTCGAGATGTTGTTAGGGGGAATTTAAACTCACAGTGAATCACACACTAACTTTCTTGACTACGATGCAGGCAAATACATTCTCACACTCTGTCTCACACCACTTTGGCTCGACCTCGTCAGGCAATGAGTGGATACTTTGTTTTACAGACAAACTGACTCATTTCTGGAGAAGATGGGGAATTCTGGTTGTTTCAAACTGTGTACAACAGCATGCAGGAAGACCTGAGTCAACACAGTATTGTTTCTTTAAAAAGCACTTCAGGGGGAACCTGGTTTACCATGTGGGAACAAATTGCTTTAAACTAATCCCTGCAGGAGCTGCGCATCAGTAAGCTGGGCGGCTGAACCCCACAGCGGTAAAGTCTAAAAGAAGCATTTTTTAATCTTTTTTTCACTAGCTTTTATGGTTTTGTGCAGTTGCTGCAAAGCATACTGTACTCACTAAGAATGGGTTGTATCCTGCTGGTGCCACAGGGGGCACTGCACCGCGTGGTCCAGCAGAAGGGGGCAGCACCGGCAGACCAGAGGAGAAGATTCCCAGAGCGTTCAGATTCAAGCCTGGGATCAGGTTGGCCTGTTGCTGTGCAGAAGAAGAGAGGGAGTGGCAGATTTTAGTCACGACTGGAAAACTACATTTGGATTTAATTAACGCAGATTATTTTATTTAATTTTCTTTTATACCAATTTTCACTGCAAAAATATGCAGTTTTTTTAAGTAGCAGATTAAACAGCTTTTTACTTGGATTTTAATTCCCCAGACATCCATGTTTCCTGCTGCACGAGGACACCGTGCTACAGTTTACAGTAAACAAAGATCATTGAGCACAGCATAGGAAATCTACGGCCAATAAGAGTTAAAGAGAAAAAAATAAGGAGAAAATGTAATCGACTACTTCCAAGTAAAAATACCTGTTTTTGAATAACAA